TCTGCTCCCCCAGCAGGAGGAGTGGGAGCTCGCTGCCGGGACGGTGCCAAGGAGGAGACGGGCGGATGCCGCGATGGGGGGACCCCACCAGGGAAAGCCTCTGCAGCGACGCCTCGGCTGGACGGGGGAGGTTGGCGGGGGCAGTGCTAGGGTGGCCATGCAGCCAGCGTGGGCCCTGTGCCCAGGCGATGAGTGTCAGGGGGCCGGGATGCACTAGAGGCCCCTCGGTAACTCGATCGCTCCCACTTTGTTCCCACTGTCGGGGATGTGCCCTGCGGTTCCCACAGCTTCCTGCCACGCGGCTCTCCTGGCAGGCGCTGCCCGTTCCCGCTGCGCAGGAGGGCACCGGCGTGGGCAGCTCGCCGGCAGTCTGGCCAGCCAGCCGAGCAGAGGGGCTGGGCCCAGCTACTGAGCCTGACAAACCTGGGCTGGCAGCCCAGCGAGGGACAGCACACAGCTTGCCTGCCTGGCTGGCTTCCCCGTGCCCAGCCAGCCCCTTCCACCCTCTGCATTAGACACAAAAGGGCTGGACGCCCCTGGTGTTGGGAGAACTTGGGGGTATGGCCGCAGGTATGTGTCTGAAGTGCGTGTGTGGTTTTGTGGGCACAGAGGTGGGGCAGTGTGCCTAGGTATGTGTGGTGGGGACAGGTGTGGGGGCGTGCCCAGGCGTGGGGGATGCCTGATTGGATGTGGGGCCAGAAGTGAGGGCATGCACAAGTGTGTGTCTGGGGGACAGGCGTGGGGGATGCTTGGCTGCGTGGGGGTGTGCACGTGTGTGCATGTGTTTGTGTGACCCCATCTGCCAGGTGCCTGGGGCAGCAGCAAGAGCCGGGCTCAGTCCGTAACAAAATTCAAGTTCCCTCCAGCTGCCCTGCTCCTATTCTGACCTTGGGGCACTAACCTGCCCCCTGCTGCCCCCAGCCATCGGTTCTGCCCTCTTGCACCTTGGGGAACAGGGACCCCCAAGGACCCCTCTGGTGGGGGAGACGGGGACAGCCCAGAGCCCCTCTCTGTGTATTTCAAAGGAGAAAATGAGCAAAGCTCAGCCCTGTGCTTCGAGAGCCTGCTCCCCCTCCCCCCCCCAGCGCCGGCCACGCCACCTCCCACACGGGATTCGATGAGATTATTAGGGTGTGGGGTTGTGGGAATCTGGCCCTGGCTGATGGGTGGGAATCTGCCTGAGGCCTGGAGAGTCAACCCATTGGGCAGGTCCCATGGAGGGAGTGTGAGGGGAGGGAGGTTTGGGGGGGCAGCGTGAGAGGGGGTTCCTAGGGCAGGGTCCTGGGGCTTGCGTGAGGGGGGTTCCCAAAGTAGAATCCCGAGGGGGCAGAGTGTGGGGAGGGGGGTTCCCAGTGCAGGGTTCTAAGGGTGCTCCCAAGGCAGGGTCCTGGGGGGCATGGGAGAGGGGGCTCTTGGGTTCTGGGGGGGCAGTGTTCCCCAGGTTCCTGCGTGGCTGTGGTGGGTGTCAGTGAGGCAGCTCGGTGCAGCTGGGCCCAGCTCTCTGGAGTGCTCACCGCCCCCCCCCGGCAGTCCTCCCCCCATCTCCAAGGCCCTGCCCAGCTGCACACTTCCCCCCCCCCACTGTGTGTTTCCATGGAGGCGGGGAGCCGTCCCGCCCTGCCTGCTCAGCCCCAGCTGGCTGCCAGCCGCCCACAGGCACTGGCAGGGGTGCAGCACCGAGCAAACAACGCTGCTGAGTCGGAGGCAACCCCTGAGAGAAGCCAGCGACGCGCTGAGCGCCCTCCTCGACCGCCCCCCGCCCTGGAGTGCACAGACAGCACCTCAGGTACAGGCCCCTCGCTGAGCACACAGCGGGGTACCCAGCCAGGAACAGCCCTCTATGGGGCCCAGCTCTGATCCAGCCCCGGGGCAGGGGGCTGGCTGGGTTCAGGGGCGGGGAATGAGATAAGGGGCTTTTCCCTTCTAGCGGGTGCCTGCTCTGATCCAGCCCTGAGTTGGAGTCACTGAATCTCCTGGTGGTCCCGTGTGGGGGGCGTCAGGGCCTGTAGATGGGGTCCGGCAATACTCTGGGGGGGTCCTGGTGTGGCTGGGCCCTTGGCAGCCTCCCAGAAATCCAGGACTGGCAGAGATCCCAGAAGAGGTCCCAGGAGGGTTGTGATTAAGCCTTGGGCACTGGACCCATCCCTGGGATGGTGACCTGAGGACTAGCTAAGGCCCTGTCCCTGAGCTGGGCTGTGCCCCTTCCCCATGGCCACAGGCACGCATGTGGGGCAGGGCTACCTCCCCCCTCCCCGCTGTATGAGAAGCGGTGCCCACAGAAAGCCAGGGCTGGCAGAGGTTCCAGAAGAGAGCCCAGGCCTTGAGTCCCATCCCTGTGCCTGAATAACAGGCCAGCCCCTTCCTGGCTCCGTGCCTCAGTTTCCCCCATGGAAAGGGCAACACTGGCCCTGCTCCTCCTGCTAGGGTGGCCGTCAGGCTGGATCCACTCAGGATGCAAGGGTCATAGACCCACGCAGGGATGTCGGGCTGTGCTGCCAACACCCCCTCAGAGTCTCAAGAGGCGTAAGAGAGGCAGGGTGCCCAGAGGGCGGTGGCTCCTCCCCACCCTGGCTGCTCTGCAGGGGATGCCACCTGGTTCCTAGGAGACGGGAGCCAAGGACACAGACAAGCCAAGGAAAGAACCAGCCTCAGGCGGGAGAACTGGGGAGGCCAGGACAGGCAGAGCCATGGTGCCACACAGGGAACCAGCGACAGATGGAAGGCACCCCCTGCAGCAAGCTTCTGGTCCCAGACTGCTCCACTAATGGGGGCGGGAGGCGGGCTGATTGCAGACTGCAGCAAAGGGAGGGGAAGTGCCCAATTGCTGTAGTGACGAGTACATAAAAACGGCCATAGTGGGGCAGACCAAAGTGCCCTGTCTTCTGACAGTGGCCAATGCCAGGTGCCCCAGAGGGAGCGAACAGCACAGACAATCAAGTGATCCCTCCTGGTTGTTACCCACTCACAGCCCCAACAAACAGAGGCCAGGGACACCATTCCTACCCATCCTGGCTAGTAGCCATTGATGATCCTAACCTCCATGAATTCGTCTAGTTTTTGAACTCTGTTAAAGTCCTGGTCTTCACAACATCCTCTGGCAAGGAGTTCCACAGGTCGACCTTGTGTTGTGTGCAGAAACACTTCCTTCTGTTTGTTTTAAACCTGCTACCTATTAATTTCATTGGGTGACTCCTAGTTCTTTTGTTATATAAAGGAATAATACTTCCTTATTTACTTTCTCCACGTCAGTCATGATTTTATAGACCTCTATCGTATCTCCCTTAGTTGTATCTTTTCCAGGCTGCAAAGTTCCAGTGTTATTAATTGTTAATCTCTCCTCATACAGAAACTGTTCCAAACCCCTAATAATTTTTGTTGCCCTTTTCTGGACCTTTACCAATTGCCCGGTTTGTTTTTTGTTTTGTTTTGAGATGAAGCAACCGCATCTGCACGCAGTGCTGAAGATGTGGGTGTGCCAGGAATTTATATAGCGGTAATGTGATATTTTCTGTTTTATTTTCTATCCCGTCCTCAATAATCCCCGACGTTTCTTTAGCTTTTATGACTGATGCAGCACGTATTTTCAGAGATCGCTCCATGATGACTCCAAGATCTCTTTCTAGAGGGGTCGCAGTTAATTTCGACCCCACCATTTTCTATGTATAGTTGGGATTATGGTTTCCAATATGCATTACTTTGCACTTATCACCACTGAATTTCATCGGCCATTTTGTTCCTCACTCACCCAGTTTTGTACTGTCCTCTTGCAACCCTTTGGACTTAACGATCCGCAGTAGTTTTCTATCATTTCCACAGTTTGACATCTCGCTGCTTACGCCTTTTTCCAGATCATCAATGAATATGTTGACCTGTCCTGGTCCCACGACAGATCCTTGAGGGACACCACTCTTCCCTGCTCCCCATTTTGAAAACTGATCTTTTATCCCTGCCCTTTGTTTCCTGTCTTTTAACCAGTTCTTGATCCTGGAGAAGACCTTCCCTCTTACCCCATGGCCACTTCGCTTAAGGGCTTTTGGTGAGGGATCTGATCAAAGGCTTTCTGGAAATCTAAGTGCACGATAGCCCCTTATCCATACGCTTGTTGACCTCCTCAGAGAATCTTGGTAGATTAGTGAGCCATCATTGCCTTTTACAGAACGCATGCTGGCTGTTCCCCAACAAATCGCGTTCATCTATGTGTCTGATCATTCTCTTCTTTGCTATAATTCAACCAGTTTGCCAGGTGCTGACATCAGGCTGACCCATAATTGCCAGGATCGCCTCTGGAGCCTTTTTAAAAATTGGTGTCATGCCACCTACTCTCCTGTCATCTGGCACAGAAGCGGATTTAAATTCTGGGGACGTACCACGGTGGGTGGTACGGGGAGGGGGCGGGAGACACTTACCTCGGTGCAAATCTTCTCAGACTCAGGATTGGGGCCTGTGAGGACCAGCCCTGGGACAGGGGAGAGGCACAGGACAGGGAGGGAGCTGACAGATGACTGTGGTTCCCAGCTGCTCTCCTTGGGGGTGAGCTTCCAGTCACCTGAACTGGATGGGGAAACCAGAGGTGGTTGCTTGGAGACTCCTGGGTCTACATGTCCCCTCTCGCTGCTCAGATCTGTCTGGGAGAAGCTGTTGGGCTCATCCCTTCCTTGGGGTGTGTGCAGCACCCCTAGCCCCAGGCAGAGAGGCTGGCTGGCGGCTCCAACAGGTTGGGCCAGTTCCCCGTGCCTGGGAACGTGAGTGGGCAGGGTGCTGGGTATAGTATACTAATCCTGAGACCAAACCCCATCGCTGCAGGGCTGCTACTGCACCCCCATAGGGCCCCGATCTCCCTCCTGAGCTTGGTGAGCACCAGAGGCCGAGTGTTTCTCTGTGCTCCTCCATGCCCACCACCGCCCTCCCCTGAGCACGGCCAGTCACCTCCTTCTCTACCGTAGGGTGCCCGAGGTCCCGTATGCTCCGCTCTGAGGCCTGGCTAATTCCCCGCTCCTGATGGAGGCTGGAGCAATCGATGGAGTCATGGCAGGAGCCAGGCAGCTGGAGGCAGCTGCTCTCCTTCTGGCTGGGGAA